CCTCTCTCTCTCTCTCTCTCTCTCTCCTCTCTCTCTCTCTCTCTCTGTCTCTCTTTCTCTCTTTCTCTCTTTCTCTCTTTCTCTCTTTCTCTCTTTCTCTCTTTCTTTCTTTCTTTCTATAATGGCTGCACCGATTTATATTCCCACCAACAGTGTGCAAGGGTTTTCTTTTCTCTACATCTTTGCCAACATTTTTTGTCTTTTGACTTTTTGGTGATAGCCATCCTAACAGGTGTGAGGTAGTATCTCATTATAGTTTTGATTTGCATTTCCCTGATGATTAGTGATGTTGAACATCTTTTCATATATGTGTTGACCATTTGCATATCTTCTTTGGAAAAGTATCTATTCAGTGCCTTTACCCATTGGGTTATTTGTTTTATATTATTTTTTGCTATTGAGTTGTATGGATTCCTTTTTTCTCCTTTCCTTTCTTTTCTTTTTAGAAATAAGGTCTTGCTCTGTCAGCCAGGCTGGAGTACAGTGGTGCCATTATATCTCACTGCAGACTCAAACTCCTAGGCTCAAGTGATCCTCTCACCTTGGCCTCCTGTATAGCTGGGACTGCAGGTGTGCACCATCATGCCTAGCCACATATAAGTTCCTTATATATTTTGGATATTTAACCCTTATCAGAGACATAGTTTGAAGATTTTCTTCCATTTCATAGGTTGGCTTTTCACTTTGTTGACTGCTTCCTTTGCTGCACAGAAGCTTTGTAGTTTGATATAATTCCACTTTGCTTTTGGTGTCAGAGCCAAAGAATCATTGCCAACACCAATGGCATAGAGGTTTTCTCCATTTTCTTCTAGAGGGTTTCCAGTTTTCAGTCTAATGTTTAAGTCTTTTTTCCATTTTGAGTTGATTTTTGTATATGATGTAAGATAAGGGCTCAATTTTATTCTGTTGCATGTGGATATCCAGTTTTCTCAACACTAGTTTTTTGAAGAGACTATCCTTTTGTGTAAATTGTGTATTTTTGGTGCCTTTGCTGAAGATTAGTTGCCTGTATATGTGTGAGTTTATTTCTGGGTTTTCTATTCTGTTCCATTGGTCTGTGAGTTTGTTTTTATGCATGTACTATACTCTTTTGGTTGCTATAGCTTTGTACTATAATTGGAAATCAGGAAGTGTAGTATCTTCTCTTTTATGCTTCTTTCTCAAACTTTCTTTAGCTATTTGGAGGTCTTTTTTGGCTTCATACAAATTTCAGAATTGTTTTTTTTTTCTGTGAAAAATGTCACTGAAGCTTGGATAAGAATTGCATTGAATCTACAGATTCCTTTGGATAAAATGGGTATTTTAACAGTATTAGTTCTTCCAATCCGTGAACATGAATATATTTCCATTTATTTGTGTTTTATACAATTTTTGTCATCATTGTTTTATAGTCTTATTGTAAGTCTTTAACCTTCTTTGTTAAATTTATTCCTAAGTATTTTATTCTTTTTGATGGTATTGTAAGTGGGAATGCTTTCTAATTGCTTTTTCAGATAGTTTGTTGTTAGTGTATAGAAATGCAACTGATTTTTATATGTTTATTTTGTATTCTGAACTTTTACTGAATTTCCTAATTCTAACAGTTTTTTCGTGGAGTCTTTAGGGTGTTTTATATATAAGATCATGTTATCTGCAAACAGAGATAATTTTACTTTTTCCCAAACCTGCTTCTTTTTTTTTTTTTTTTG